CATTTGCATGGTGTTTATTTCCTAGAGATAATAAGGGATACAAATTTGAAATTCCTATACAATTATAGCACTCAATTACATCATACAGATAAATTACTCATAGATCATGATATTTTGCCACAAGGTGGCAATAGTTGAATATATTCCCAATCTATTTCCGAAGTAGTAAGCAAAAATAAAATTTTGGATTTGTAGCCATAAGCAAGAATCAAATCAATTCTCACCTCACACTGACACTATCAGACGGCACGTACGTTTATAACGTCGATTCTCGTACGTTGATCTTACCCCACACGTGGTCTAATACGAACCGTGTATGAAAGTCGATACTACCCCTCCTGGTTTGGTTTGATTAGTAGATAAAAAGGAGAGCATTTACGTAATTTGGCTATTTCAGTTCCGCTTGATAAAAATTAGTAGTACTGGTCTTTTCTTGTCACTAGCTTCGAATTTTGTTCGGAGAAAATAAATTAATCATGGCGACTGTACCATTATTCAGCCAATTCCCCTGCAAAACCCGAGTCTCAAGTTCATCGAACCCTAAATCCATCCCAAAATCTCCGACTATTGTTCCGGCGAGTTCAATTAGTCGCCGTCCGGGGTTCTCAACCGGAGAATTCGCTGTTTCCCATGCGGATTTCAGAGTCAGAGTCACTGACGCGGAAGACGAATGGGGTCCGGAGAAGGGAGAGAGAGGATCGGCTTTATCGGTGGCGGAGGAAGCAATCGAATCCGTGCAGGAGACGGAGCGGCTAAAGAGATCGCTAGCGGATTCGTTGTACGGAACAGATCGAGGTTTGAGTGCTTCGAGCGAGACCAGAGCCGAAATCGGAGATCTAATCACACAGCTCGAGTCGAAGAACCCTACCCCAGCTCCAACCGAAGCTCTCTTCCTCCTCAACGGCAAATGGATCCTCGCGTAAGTTTTCGATTTGTTAAATTTCGTTTTGGTAAATAGGGTTCTGGAATCAGCTTCTTGTGAATTTTTCTTCAGTTGCAGATTTGGTGCTTGTTCTTGATTTGGTTGAGTCTATTTTTTGTAGCTACACATCGTTCGTTGGTTTGTTCCCGTTGCTTTCACGAGGGATTGTGCCTTTAGTAAAAGTCGATGAAATCTCACAAACCATTGATTCAGATAACTTCACTGTTCAAAACTCTGTTCGTTTCGCTGGTCCTCTAGCTACAACTTCAATTAGCACCAACGCCAAGTTCGAAATCCGAAGCCCTAAACGTGTCCAGGTTAAATCACCATCTAGCAACAGATATCTGATTATCAACTCCTTGAAACGATGCAGTAAACATTTTGGATTTGTTTTAATGCAGATTAAGTTCGAGCAAGGTGTAATCGGGACTCCTCAGTTAACGGATTCGATTGAAATCCCGGAACATGTTGAGGTTCTTGGTCAAAAGATTGATCTTAACCCGATCAGAGGGTTACTTACCTCGGTACAAGACACAGCTTCGTCGGTGGCTAGAACCATATCGAACCAACCACCATTGAAATTCTCTTTGCCAGGGGACAATGCGCAGTCGTGGCTCCTCACGACTTATTTAGACAAAGACATTCGGATCTCTAGAGGAGACGGTGGAAGCGTCTTTGTGCTCATCAAAGAAGGAAGCCCTCTCTTAAACCCTTGAACACCAGTATAATTTATCTGTTTATGCTAAGTACAAAATAAGTGTTCAATAGTGTTGTTATATAGGTTTCTTCTTAATCGTTATTATTAACTTATAATGATAATGAATGATGTTTTAACTGCTTTATAACTTCTTTGCTATGTCCATAACTCCATAACAAAATGCAAATGTTTCACAATCCTTGCTCTTTGCACGGGCTCAAGAGTCTAACTTTTTCCAACTTCAGCTGATTAAAACCGCCTGCAAATATTTCAAAAGATGGATCATAAGCTCAACTCGGACTATGTAACGCGTAGCCAAAATTGTTTTTAGTGGAAATCGAGTTTACGTCTTGCCTCAAAACAATCGCTATTAGACCACTATACGACAACGCATTTTTGGGGTTTGTTTTGCTAAAAAAAACATTTGCAATGATCTAGAAATTATCATTATA